TTGGTCAGTCTGATCTTGCAGTCTCGGCTGACTGTTCTGTCTACCAGTAGCTGGTGTTTTGCGCCTCTGGTATTCTTGCCAATCCCTTTCTGTGTCCCGCTCATGTATTGACCCATGTGCCTGTTCATCTTAGCCGATATGATGCCTGACAGGAGCTTCCATGTAGTACTGAGGCAGGTTATTGGTCGGTAGTTGGAGGGGACCGGTCCCTTCTTGGGGTCCTTGGGGATCAGGACCGTCCGACCTTCGGTTAGCCATTCCGGGTGTCTCTCGTTAACTAGCAGCTGGTTCATTTGTGCTGCCAGAAGCTCGTGGAGTGCAGTCAGCTTCTTTAGCCAGTAGGCGTGAACCATGTCGGGCCCTGGTGCTGTCCAACTCTTCATACTGGAGACCCTTTCTTGGATGTTGGCCACTGTGATGGTTACTGGACCCTGTTCAGGGAGGTCGCTGTGGTCTGCCCTCAGATCCACTAGCCACTGAGCATTGCCGTTATGGGTTGCGTCCTTCTCCCATATGCTCTTCCAGTATTGCTCCGTCTCCAGCCTTGGTGGTGCTGTTCTCTTATTATTATTGTTCCCTTGCCACTGAGAGTACACCTTTGCCTATCTCTCTGGTGTACCTCCTCAAGCGGCTGGGCAAGGCTATGAGTCTTTGCTTGGCAGTTTCCAAGGCCTCAGGTATGGACAGCTTGCTGTATTTCTTATGCACCTTCTTTGTCGCACCTTTCTGCAACTCCATTAGTTGGCTGACCTCCCTCCGTGCTACTTTGATCTTGCCCTCTAGCCTCCTTCTCCATGGAGGGTACTGCCCCTTGTGGCTGTTCAACTTGTAGCCAAGCATCTCACTGATCACTGCTGCCGTATTGTAGATCAGCTTGTTAGTGTCGGTAATCGTGGTTGTAGGTATCGTCCGTAGTGCTGCATTAACATCATCTAGCAGACCTTCTGAGGGTACTTCACGTAATCTTGGTAACCGACTACGGGGGATACAGGTTTCAAGCTTGGCGATGATCCTATTTTTCAGGTCAGTTCCTCTCACACTCAACGATCCTTCTCCTATCGCACTTGGGGCTATGTACCCAATCTCGGGTGGGGGTGATGATATCTCCCCCCTGACCTGGCGTCCTGACTCCTCCTTGCCATAGCATTTGTGTTGTACCTCGTCAATCTCTAGCTGTGAGAGCAGTCCCTTCTTTCGAATGTTGGAACACTGAGCTACTAGTTGTTTCGCCGTCATTGTGGATGTTGGATATCGAAGAATCCATAGGTCCCGCATCCTATTCATGTAGCCCCTTCCGCCGATGTTACTTGCGTAGTAGCATTCCAACAATGCCCTGTTTTTGTATTATTATTGTATTATTATTGCAGAACACAATGCATAATCTAGGAAGAATACTACAAATAAATTAAGTTATAAATAATACAAAGTGCCCTGTAATATATATATATATATATATATATATATATATATATATATATATATATATATATGAAGACCCCAGGTGCAGGCTGTGTAAAGATGCCCCAGAGACAATCCAGCACATAACAGCAGGGTGCAAGATGCTAGCAGGCAAGGCATACATGGAACGCCATAACCAAGTGGCCGGCATAGTGTACAGGAACATCTGTGCCGAGTACAACCTGGAAGTCCCGAGGTCAAAATGGGAGATGCCCCCAAGGGTGGTGGAGAATGACCGAGCTAAGATCCTGTGGGACTTCCAGATACAGACGGACAAAATGGTGGTGGCTAACCAACCGGACATAGTGGTGGTAGACAAACAGAAGAAGACGGCCGTAGTGATCGATGTAGCGGTTCCGAATGACAGCAATATCAGGAAGAAGGAACACGAGAAGCTGGAGAAATACCAAGGGCTCAGAGAAGAGCTCGAGAGGATGTGGAGGGTGAAGGTAACGGTGGTCCCCGTGGTAATCGGAGCACTAGGTGCGGTGACTCCCAAGCTAGGCGAGTGGCTCCAGCAGATCCCGGGAACAACATCGGAAATCTCTGTCCAGAAGAGCGCAATCCTGGGAACAGCTAAGATACTGCGCAGGACCCTCAAGCTCCCAGGCCTCTGGTAGAGGACCCGAGCTTGTAGGATAAACCGCCCGCAGGGGCGTGCTGGGTGTTTTATATATATATATATATTAGAGAGAGAGAGAGAGAGAGAGAGAGAGAGAGAGATCTATAGATAGATATAGATATAGATCTATATCTCTATATATAGAGAGATATAGATATAGTCCTAAATTTTAGTTAAAAAAGGAGCAATAATGTTAAAATGATGCTGATGCATTGCATTTACAGTGGGGCAAAAAAGTATTTAGTCAGCCACCGATTGTGCAAGTTCCCCCACTTAAAATGATGACAGAGGTCAGTAATTTGCACCAGAGGTACACTTCAACTGTGAGAGACAGAATGTGAAAAAAAAATCCATGAATTCACATGGTAGGATTTGTAAAGAATTTATTCGTAAATTAGGGTGGAAAATAAGTATTTGGTCACCTCAAACAAGGAAAATCTCTGGCTCTCACAGACCTGTAACGTCTTCTGTAAGAAGCTTTTCTGTCCCCCACTCGTTACCTGTATGAATGGCACCTGTTTGAACTCATCATCTGTATAAAAGACACCTGTCCACAGCCTCAAACAGTCAGACTCCAAACTCCGCCATGGCCAAGACCAAAGAGCTTTCGAAGGACACCAGGAAAAGTATTGTAGACCTGCACCAGACTGGGAAGAGTGAATCTACAATAGGCAAGCAGCTTGGTGTGAAAAATCAACTGTGGGAGCAATCATCAGAAAATGGAAGACATACAAGACCACTGATAATCTCCCTCGATCTGGGGCTCCACGCAAGATCTCATCCCGTGGGGTCAAAATGATCATGAGAACGGTGAGCAAAGATCCCAGAACCACACGGGGGGACCTGGTGAATGACCTGCAGAGAGCTGGGACCAAAGTAACAAAGGTCACCATCAGTAACACACTACAACGGCAGGGAATCAAATCCCGCAGTGCCAGACGTGTTCCGCTGCTGAAGCCAGTGCATGTCCAGGCCCGTCTGAAGTTTGCCAGAGAGCACATGGATGATACAGCAGAGGATTGGGAGAATGTCATGTGGTCAGATGAAACCAAAGTAGAACTTTTTGGTATAAACTCAACTCGTCGTGTTTGGAGGAAGACGAATACTGAGTTGCATCCCAAGAACACCATACCTACTGTGAAGCATGGGGGTGGAAACATCATGCTATGGGGCTGTTTTTCTGCCAAGGGGACAGGACGACTGATCCGTGTTAAGGACAGAATGAATGGGGCCATGTATCGTGAGATTTTGAGCCAAAACCTCCTTCCATCAGTGAGAACTTTGAAGATGAAATGAGGCTGGGTCTTCCAACATGACAATGATCCAAAACACACCGCCCGGGCAACAAAGGAGTGGCTCCGTAAGAAGCATTTGAAAGTCCTGGAGTGGCCTAGCCAGTCTCCAGACCTCAACCCCATAGAAAATCTGTGGCGGGAGTTGAAAGTCCGTGTTGCTCGGCGACAGCCCCAAAACATCACTGCTCTCGAGAAGATCTGCATGGAGGAATGGGCCAAAATACCAGCTACTGTGTGTGCAAACCTGGTAAAGACCTATAGTAAACGTTTGACCTCTGTTATTGCCAACAAAGGTTATGTTACAAAGTATTGGGTTGTATTTTTGTTATTGACCGAATACTTATTTTCCACCCTGATTTACGAATAAATTCTTTACAAATCCTACCATGTGGATTCATGGATATTTTTTTCACATTCTGTCTCTCACAGTTGAAGTGTACCTCTGGTGCAAATTACTGACCTCTGTCATCATTTTAGGTGGGGGAACTTGCACAATCGGTGACTGACTAAATACTTTTTTGCCCCACTGTATAGGGGCACCTACAAACTATTTTCATATCAGTCTTTTAGTGTCAAGAAGTTCCATCAAAATGTGTGTTTTTCTTGAGGTTTCTAATTTGCCACTCCTCTGGTTTAGAAAAGTATCAAAAAATATTGACAGAATCTGTCTTTTGTTTTCTTGGTTGGTTTACTTTTAATTCCCCGCACACTCTCTCATCTCTCTCTGGACCTGATCCCTCACTATAAAACATCATTAGGATAAATGATGTGTACTGCTACATGTACTGATAGAAACAGTTAAGAAACAACATGAAAAGGCTTATCACTGAAAAACGAGATGAAAGTGGAACCTTGTTTTGAACATGGGCTCTCACATGTTGTTAGATCTCCTGGGCCATACCTTACATTTGCCAGGTGCAAGTACACATACTTCTTTTTTACATTAATAGATTCTCACTGCTCAAAATGATTAAATCTGCTTTAAATCACGCTGAGTTATTTTAAAAGACAAGCTTAGTTAGTTTTTACATCTATCAGTCTGTGCTTATATGCATTCATATTCACAAAGTCAAGGTAAGCTTTTCGCTGCAGTTGAAAAAAAAAGGATACACTACTTTACTGAAGTAAAATTATGTCCCAATAAAACAAAGCTTTTTCATAAAGTTGTCAAACCTCATGTGCTCTTAAATTAAATGAAATTAAATTAAAATTTATCCCATGTTATTCTCTGAAGTTCCTCAGTATAGTGGGACATTTCAGATTGCCATTCTGGCATTTTGGACAGTCCATTGCCTGAAGGAAAATACAACTCATTAAATTAAACACATCAAATATCGTTTTTCCTTTACATGCATATGGAATTTAGATACATTGATAAACAAATTAAACAGTATATCTCAATAACAACAGTCATATAGTGCTTTCATATTGACAAAATATTTTGATGCCTAAAACTGACAAGGTCTCTATGTTGAAAGCCAGTGTGCCAAAAAGGTTGGCGAAAGCCCCCTACAAATGAAAGTTTTGAAAGTGAATCCCTGACCGTCGCTTTCAATATGTCATCTAACCAGTCCTTCTGCCTCTTCCACCTTCTCCTTTTCACCCCCCCACCCCCCCTCCTCTAGACATTAGGGAGAGTGGAAGCCCCAAACCAGTGATGGTTTTCATCCATGGGGGCTCCTACATGGAAGGAACTGGGAATATGTTTGATGGCAGTATCCTGGCCAGCTATGGGAACGTGATTGTCATCACTTTAAACTACAGACTTGGCGTCCTAGGTAAGGATCCTGCAATGAGTGACCATTATTGCTGTCATGTTGTGTCGTGTCTGTTCTTCCTTTATTTATGCCTTTTGTCATGTTGAGTCTATTACGTTAGCCTTAAAAAGACGAAGACCAGGGATATCTTTATTTCTTTCTTTTCCTTTCTTTCTGCCTTCCTTTCTTTTTTTGGTCTGTACATTGTTCTGGCTCAAACTGGTATTTCTTGCTAATATCTGGTCTCATTTCTTTGTTGATTGATTGCGATATTTCCAAAGACTGAATTTGAGCTTTCTATGAGATGATTGCTTTTCATTCTTCCTTGACTTTGACGCTAAAGTAGGCAGGTGACAGGCATAGTAGTACAAAATGTTTGTGCCATCCCTTTTCTGATCCTTTGCTCATCTACGTATTTGTTTAAAGTGACATGTTGATTGCATCTCTGCATAGTTTGAACCTGGTTATCACTCTGCTGTACGTCTCTTGCCTCCTTTCATATATAGTTAGTACAATGGATTTTCAGTCCCTCTTGTTTCTGGATATCTCAGTTTTCTGTCTCCCCTGTCTTATTTTTTCTCATCAGAGTAATTCCTAATTCCTTTTCCCTTCTTTTAGATGTCACTGCCACATGATAGAAACAAAGGTGTGCTGAATGAGATTATGCTGTCATGGAATGGACCGCTTTCATTTAAATGCTCTTTTGGTTTATGGGGTTTTCACCCGGTGTGATCAACGGATAGCAGAATAAAGACACAGGGCAATATCCGCCTTTCACTCAAATATATATTAAAAAAAGTTTTCTTGGCATGTGTGTGAGTGTGCGTGCATGTACAGCTATGTGTTTGTGTGTGTCAGGGCGTATTTAGCGAATTAATATAAATGCTCACATAATATTCTTTGTGAAGAGCTGAAACACAATATCAGTGAAATATTAGTGTGATCTGCAGGTGGTCTGCATCATCTCTGTAATCTCAAAATTATTCCCTCTGATATTTTACATTAGTTATATTTTAATGGGAAATACTAAGACTGGCTGAAAAACCTGTTGCTTTCTTACAGACGTCCTAATGATACCCAAAGATCAACAGTGGTACTAAAATTCTTGACAGCTAGAAGTCAGATAATTAATATACATATATGAATATTTAAAAAAAAGATCTAGTGATTAGATATGCAGCCTTCCTATCCACCCTAAAGTTTAGCTTCATTGCAGACTATTACAGTTTGTAGAGACACCATGTGTATAAAGTGCACATACTCTACATACACTAAAAAACTGAACTCCACACTCCAAAACCTGCTGTTCAAAGCTGAAATCTTGGATTTCCCTGTTATGAATAAACTGGCGTAGCCAATTCAAACTCTGTTTGCAAATAACATTTAAAGCTTTAGATTATAGTTATAAAGCATTATGGAAATTACATAAGCAGCTGAAGTGTACAACCACTTCCAAACATCAAAAGCTTGAGAAAGGATAAAAAAGGCAAGTATGGTGAGAGTAATCCAGCCAAAGATCAGTCAGTTACATTTTAGAACATTTAAAATTATTTTAAAAGTGGTGAAATCCTCAGTCCCTTAGGCATTCCCTCCTTCTCATTCTTTTCTGTTTTTTTTCCCTCCGTTCCCCACTCGCCCCTTTTTCATGTGCAAGCTCTTAACTGCTCCAAGCCTCATAGTGTTGAGGGAAAGTGTATTCCTGCTGGTTAACATGAGGCACTGCTGTTTGCTCTCAGATTAAACTCTGTGTGTTTGTGTTTACCCCCCTGGCAATGGGCAAAAGTGTGCAGCTTTACCTTACCCAACCTTCTAGTGGGCTGTGTGTGTTTGTGTGTGTCTGTGTGTGAATGACAGTAGATATAGGACTCATAATCAGTGGGCTTGTGGGCTTTCCATTCAGTTATCCAGTATAATTGAGTACAAGTTCTGTGTTGGACTCTAAGTTGTTTTTCTTTCTCACTGTTAAGAGTCAGAGCCCACACGGCTCTGACATTTAAATGGGAGTTCTTCCTCTCCGAGGTCACCAAGTGCTTTTTCAAAAGGGGGACGCAGTAATATTGCAGGGCCTTAAGGTTACATTATATAGTACCTTGATATTACTGTTGCTGTAAACTGTGAACTGGATATATTAATAAACTGAATTGAATGTTAATGTTTCATTGGTCCAGACATGATGTATATGTATTATCGGCCTCTTTAATTAAAGTCAGCCGACCACATGTTCGTAATATGAATAAACCCGTATATTAGGTATGATAACTAAACATGTGTTTGGTTTAACATTTGGTATGGGGGGAAAAAAGCTCTTTATTAGAGAATGAATACAGGAGTTAATGAAAGATATTACACATCTCAAAAATTAAGAAGGACTAGGAAACAATGTTTGTTTAAACCTTTTATACCTACTAACATTTACCAGGCTCTCAGCATTATTATTATGTTCTCTAGTTAGCCAGTTGGCCAATGTTGGCTAAAGTGTGGGACTGACCTAAACGGACGATCGTGGCTCAAGAGTTGGGAGTTTGCCTTGTAATTGGAAGGTTGCTGGTTCGAGCCCCGGCTTGGACAGTCTCCGTCGTTGTGTCTTTGGGCAAGACACTTTACCCTCTTGCGTACTGGTGGTGGTCAGAGGGCCCGGTGGCGCCAGTGTCCGGCAGCCTCGCCTCTGTCAGTGCGCCCCAGGGTGGCTGTGGCTGCAATGTAGCCAGTATGTGAATGTGTGTGTGAATGGGTGGCTGTAAAGCACTTTGGGGTCCTCAGGGACTAGAAAAGCGCTATACAAATACAGGCCATTTACCTTGCTCTGTCAGCTGAGCAGCACCTGTTTGCTTGGAGATGCTGCTCAGCTGACAGAAATCCCTACCCTCGCTCCAGTGATTTTTCTCCTTGGTTTAGTGTGTTTGTGTGTGCAAGTGAGCACTACGAAGGAAACCATTAGCGGCTTTAAATATGTAGAGCTGCTGGCGCGAAGCTGTATTTATGGGTTAAGGGCCTTGGCTGCAATGATTTTGGCCATGGGGCATGCATATAGTATGCTACTGTCAGTGTGTGTTCATGGGTGTGTAGGAGGTTGTGTGTTTAATGAATCAGAAGTTTCTCCAGGGTGCAGATTGGGTGTTTATGAAACACATAGTATAGTGCTATCAAAGTGCCATCTCAGTCCCCCTTGGTTTATAATCAGAAGTCCTGCTGTGAGGTTAGTTTTGGTTTGAATTGTTTGGAAGTGCTTAAGAAGCTAAATGCTCTATCACAAATATGGTATGATGTTTTTTTTCCCTTTAAAGTGACATAATATTCTGAAATTTGCTGGATATTATCATATAAAATCTTGCCTTGTCATAAAAACATTTCGATTCCCATCAGTGTCCCCAGTGAATAAAACTTATATAGGGGATTGTTACTGAGCAGTTATGAAACTGTCACACTGAGTTATTTAATATTGTTTAATCCCAGATGTCTATCATACTGGCATTGTGACAAACACAGAGTCACAAATGTTGACTGCATGTGGTAATATGTGAGTTTTAAGCCTCCACGCTTGGCTGTTGGAGTGCTGAAAAGCGGACTGTGCCTTTAAGGCCAGGCCCTCACAGTGCGGAGTTTGTTTCAGCCCAGCCAAAACCTTTAATCATGCTGATTGATGAGGTGCATTTCCCTGACTCAAACCTTCTCCAAATACCCCTTCCATTCCAGCCATACATCAGCCATTCAGCCAATTCATCAAGCCTCTGATTGTTTTAAGATATACCTGGCCAGTAAAATATCCATTTCTCTGCATGCTACTGCTCCTCTTACTTTCAGCACTGATCAAGCCCATAGAGACCTGGCATGAGAAAAGGACCGACTAGCAGAATATAGATGTTTTAAAAACATGTTAATATAATAGTTCGATAATTATGCATTTAAAATGAATCCATAAATTGATCCATTTGTCAATTCTTCCATTTATTGTTTTACTATACTAAGGTTCATAATGACTATGTGAGCTCCGTGACAAATTTTAAAGATAAAGCAACCACAAAATAAAACAAAAAAATAATAATAAAGAAAACATATACAGGACATTTTTATGAGCCTAAACACTAGCGCTATCGTTAATTATTTGATCAGCAGCATAGTTTAGTCCAAACAGTCCCAAGATATGTGCTGAGAAACTTTACTGATTGCATGCTTGTTATTTTTTCTGCATGCTGCACACATTAGAAAATCCACAAATATCAGATTTGGCTAGCTAGTTATTTAAATTAGGACTGTGTGCATTTCACACAGGCATTTCCCCTAATATTTACCTTCCCAAATAATGCTCGCTCTCTCGCTCCCTTTTTTATTCTAATATATCTTCTTTTCTTTTCCCCTTCCACAGTAATTGGACTTTTTCTTTCCTGTTAGTTTTTGTCCTGCTGGCAAAGTGTGGAAGACTATTATTTTCATGCTTATTAATTTCTTTCTCCCTGAAACAAATACTCCAATGATTTAGGTTCATTACTCCTTTTGCGCCTCTTTTCTCTACCTTCTCCTCTTGCTAGTACTCCTGACACAGCTTTCTCAAAAACTCGAGAGCATCTAATCTTTAAACAAAAGTGTTTGAGTTCTCATCCATGTGTAATGATTGCTCCACCTGCAAACATTGGTATTGCTATTAGTTCTCTTTCATTTTGTCACACTTTTCTCAGGCTTTCTCCTGAGCTAACAATAAACACATTTTCAAAAAGTCCATAGCCATTACCTGTATGTGTGCAGATATTTGACAAGGGCTTTTGGGAGGGGCAGTTGTGAAGCTTATTCCTCATATGTAACTAAGGGAGTAAACGTATCAGTAGTAGGAGTTGTGGAAGTCCTTGCAAAGCTATTCAGCACTATTAAGCCATTTTATGTACAAAAACTTTTTTGCCATAAAAGCTTTACAGTGTTGTAATGCTTGTAGTTTTGTATCCTGGACACTAATTGTCAGAGGTGTGGACTCGAGTCACATGACTTGGACTTGAGTCAGACTCGAGTCATTAATTTTATGACTTTAGACT